TAGTACTTTTTATATATAATATCATTTTCAATCTACATTTCTTTTGTTTACATTTCAGTTTAATAAGATCTTCATAAAATAAGATCAACCTGTACGGCTTTTAGGTTTTGTGTGTGTGTGTGTATATATATAGGTGTAAGTGTTTTTTAGTATACATCAAGTAGGAAAGAGATTTATAATCTTGACTGCGATGGTGTGTTTCGCCCCTTGTTGTGGTGTAAAAAGTACCAATCTAATCAGTACGCCTAATTGGATTGGTACTTTTTGTTGAGATTAGAAGGATAAACAGCTTGGTACAGGTCACAGGATACTATGGAGGTTACAAGTTTAAAGACACACTTTATCACTGTCGATCCCTTTTTGCTCTGTAAAATTATCCTAAATAAAGTTTACTCGACTCATTTCGTGCGCCCAGATTCTCCGTTGCAGTCTCCAGCTCCTCCCCTGGTGAGGTCCGCATCAAAGCTGACATCACCAGCGTTCTCCTCCGATACATAGCTACTCTCAGAGAAGCAATGGAAAGGAGGTATGCATGCGCAGCCAAATACTACATATCTCCAAGTTCTGGAGGAAGAAGCGCCTCTAGTGTCTGTCGGGAAGATAATCACTAGACGTGTATATAACCCTGCAATGCAAACATTGCAGTTTCTAATAAACTGTATACAAAATGACAGCACCACTGCACTCAGACCATGACATTGAGTTGAAGTAGGCTGGGTGACTTCAGTGGTCATTTTAACCTACTGTGCTATCTCACAGGTTATTCAAAATTAAGATGCACTTTCCAAGCGGTTATTTTCCACATCCAGGAGGATAAAGTTAAAATATTGCTTTGTGAATGAACCCAGACCCTTTCATGAATCGGCTGTGTATCACTGACCTTGCCTGGGAATAAATGTGAACATTTGGGAAATGTACGTTTGGAAGTCAATCCTAAAACGTCTTGTAAAATTATTAAAAATAAGGCCTTTGGGTTTGTTTTTGTTTTTTTGTTTTTTTTGCTTCATCCAAGTGGTAAAAGTAAGCATTTTATACAAATATATACAGTATCTATATTATTTGAACAGGGAGGTTGCAGATGGTTTCAGACACTGGTGGTCAGTGACCTAAATAAAACGTGTAATCCCTGGTGCCTCTGACCCTGTGCACTATATAGGTCCTAACCTCAGATTGGTACTGGTACATGTCCGGAATTTGAGTTACAACCTCTGTCAGGAGATTCTGTTTGCACCTGACTCCATTAATTCAGTCCTTCTCCAGAAATTGATATGTTGGGAGAATGATTCCTCCTCTTTAACTCCTCCTGGGACCTTTCATTATAAGGAGAGGGGATGATTTAAGGACCGCAAAACAAAAAAAACAAAATAACCTGCTGCTGCCCAGGAGTGTATTTTTGGTACAATGCAGCCCAAATATTAAAGGAGCCCTTTCCCTAATAAGATCCTTTTAATACTGAAACATGCACTTGGGGGAAGTAATGCCATTTCAGAGTTCTGGATACACCATTAACCTCTGGACCCTTTATCTTGTGACTTATTAAAGGTACAGAACCACTTAATGACACTATTTTTAATAGTACACATTTTATATATTTATACATTTCACTTTATATTTTCTAATAAACTCACATTCACTGTTTCAACTTTAAAACAAAGTAACTTGACATTGAGTTTAATATTTAAAATTAAATTGGTGATGAGTCTGCTAATGGCTTGAGGTTTCTCTGTATATCATTGAGCCCAGAGGTTTCCCAGTGCCCTGTGAGATGCTAAGGCTGTTTACTGCTTCGAGCCGGTCTCATGGGGAGTCAGCGTGTACCATGTAAAGCTGATGGCACGTTAGCCAGCTCTAACCGCATTAATGACATGCCATGTATGTATTACTGCATGACAACCTTTTAAATGGACATTGTTACTTATAGGGTGTTTGCTGTGAATTGTTGGGAATGTAAAGTGAATTTAGTTTAAGTTGAAATAAGTGAAATTTGGTTTCATATTGGGCCATTCTGGTTAATTCTCCTTGAGTTCAGTATAAATTCCCAACAGTTACACGCGAGTAAACCTCTATATCTGTAACTGTATGGGGTGTGCAAAAATAAAATGTTAAAACATCTTACTTCAACATTGAATTTCAAGAAGCGAAATGTCCCTGAAATGACAGCTGTCATAAAATTTTAACTTTTTTCAGATTTTGACAGTTTATTACATTTAATAAAAATTAATACTTTTTTTTTTTTAAATGATGTATTTTGATTATTTTTGATACTTAAAACATTTTTACTTTTTTTATTTTATTTTTTTTTTTATCAGTTTGAGCAGCTATGGTGGGTCAGACTGTACGGTCATCAGGAAAGAAATTATCAGAACATAGTGTAATGCAATTTAGATTTTTATAAATACAACCACTGCGATAGATTGCACTCTGCAAGAGTATGAAATTGAAAGCACTCCAAGGGGGTCTTCCCCGGACTATAATCCTCTTCCCTGATCTGTAGTCGGATCTGTAGGACTCAGAGTAGTAGGTAACTTAAACAGCTTTTAATAAAATAGTTAAAAATAGGAGTAATACAATATGGTCCTACGCATTTCATCAAGATTATGGGATTTCCTCAGGGACGGCAAGGTTAAAACAATAACAATGCCATAAAAAAAAAAAAGCCCAACACCTCACACCCTTTAGTCCTTTTCAGTAGGTCTAATCCCAAAAGTCCATTGGTGGTCCAGAGTACTGGTATCTAACCAACTGCTCCTCAACCTGACATGTTTGTTGATGAGTTTTCACACAGAGCAATCGCAGCAGCCGGCACCTTCGGTTGAGCAGCAGTTGGTCAGATGGTTGCTCAGCCAGATAAAAAAAAATCTATATAAATAAATTTACAAAATATATAATTTTAATAAACCTTTTAAAAAGTAAAAACTTGACACTTGTCCTTTAAATAATTTGAGGTTGGTAATAGACTGGTAGGTAAGTGATGCAATTCACCTTCTGACAAAATTAATTAGGGGTGCCCAAAAGGTAGATGCCCAGTTGTTTAAAAACCATCTTCCGTTGAATGCAAAACATCATGGGAGTTGTAGTTTTACAACATCTGTGGATCTACCTTTTGGACACCCCCAAAACAGTGCATGTTAAATAATGAAGGTTTATTCAGTAAATCGTGATGAATCAAAATCCGAATTTGCTGAATTTAGGTATAACATACATTTTATATGAATGAAATATATATATATATATATATATATATAATATTTTCTGTTTTATTTTTTAATATGCATACATCCTGTTACTATGGGACTTTCAATAAAAATTGACTTTCAATGCCTCTTAATGTGTACAACAGGGCAGCCAGCAATTCAACAGTTTGTGTATCCGGAGTGCCCGCTGTATATTACAGACCAGACCTGCGTCCTCCTTCTGATGTAATGTTTTGGTAGCGGGTCATTATATCATCGCTCTATAAATAGACTGACATTTGGGATTTTCCTTCCTCTATGACCTAACCTTGGGTAGTATCCTCCAATTGTTCTAAAAAATGGCCATTTGTTCCGTCACCAGCCAGTCATTTGATTAGCGCATGCAGCCACTGCATGTGATCAATACTCTGCTAAATTTAGAGATCATAGGAAACCATTTACATGGGGGGCGGGTGGCAGCTGGGACTGTTCCCTTCTTTATGTTTTATCAATCTGGAATTGTGAAGCTGCACTGTATAGGTTTGTACTCATTTTGTTTCTTTAGCACAATTCTTCCTTTACATAGTCTTATCTTATCTATGTTTTTGTGTCATTTTGCAAACATTGCAACTAACCTTAGCACTCCAGATATTTGTGAGCTCAATTTCTTGTAAATCACTATTGGGAATGTTACTCGCAGTCACCAAGTTAGTGCCCCTAATGACTCTATGCTCATTGATATCTGCAATAAGCTGTAGAAAAAAACCTAAAACATCTGTAGTAGTTATGGTGCTTAGAGTGGGTTGTGAAGCTCGAAGTACCATACTCTCTCTGTGAATCACTATAGCCAGTGTTTGTGCTGTTATTTGTACAGGTGCAGTAATAGGTTTGTGATGGACAGTTCCTTTTTTAATTACTGCACTATACACTAACGAAGTGTTTTATGATTAACTAAGAATCAGAAGTAAAAACTTTATTTCTGCAGCATAAACCGTCATTGCAGTATCCTTTCAGCAGAGAGAGTTTTGATGCAATCGCTCATTATTCAGTGCGTCTCCAACTGTTTTTGTTTAGGTTATGGTCACAAAAAAAGTCAGCTTTCCTTAAAAAGTGAAGTGTTTGTTTCTATACACTTCACAAAGACATTTCAAATACTGTTTATATGTAAAGGCGTTGTATATATGTAGAATTAATGTCTTTTCTCTTTGCTCCACAGCTGAAATTTGCACATATATGGAGCAGTTGAAGAAAATCTTTGAATATTGCCACGCACAGCACTGCATGTACGCATGAACGTCGTGCCTGGTCACACACGTCACACGGCGCTTTTTGCACGTGGATTCAACCATTAGAGCTTTCTGCAAACGGGTCACCCCCAAACACAGACTCCTGTGCCTCCACCTAAGTGCATCCCGTCCTTACTCGGTCCTTGGTGGATCACACACAGTATATCCAGATGGGGTAACGTGATTGAGGCATCAGCGATACAGATTTGCATTTGAACTATCAGAATTAACGTATAAATATCTATATATTTATATATATATATTATATATTATTATTTTTTTCCCTACACACAAATCAAAGGACATTTAAAAGAAGAAAATCTTTTTCAGCTGCAGAGCTTCATCACGAAGGAAAGTGAATGCTGCCTTGACGTTTTTCGCGCTCCCAACATATGGTGGATTGCCATCTCTTTGCTGCTTTTTTTACAGTGTTCGGAAAGAGAATAATACTGTACAGCCCTCTGGGATATTTTGCACAATATTTGTGTTTGTCTGTAATTTTTGTTTTTTATTTTCTCAACTGAATCTTTGCTGTTTCGCAATGGCTCGTATAAATCGTCCTGCTCCAGTGGAGGTCTGTTACAAAAACATGCGTTTCCTGATCACCCATAACCCAACAAACGCAACCCTTAATACTTTCATCGAGGTAAGCAATGACTGCTAGACTTGAGCATCAAGCATGGCTCAGAGCTTCTGCGTTGCAAAGCATTTTTGACCTGCATTGGGAGGTCTGTGATTGGACAGCCACAAAAAGTCTGGGTGGGGCTAGAAGGGGAGGGCAGGCAAAGGCAGGAGACAAGAGATCTGCAGGTTTTGCAAGCTGTTTTTTTTTTTTTAAATTTACCCCCAATGAAATTGCATAATTATATGCTTGCAAGTTTTTTAATTGGGGTTGTATCTGCTAAACAGTAAATCTGATTTATTTTGTATTTGGGTAGTTAATTAAATGTAGTTGAATTATTTAATATGCTTCTGCATGGAAAAATTATCCTTAAAATATATAATCTGTTTGGCTTAGTGTGGCTTTTTTTCACTGCGGCATATTAAAACACTGGCAATATTTGATGGGTTCAAGCAATGTCCAGTTGACCGAAAGGCAAATATCCTTTGGGGAAATAAGGTTTTTTTTTCTAAGCAGTCACATTGATTCTAATCCCTTTTAGTTTACTTTGAAGTCGTAAAGGGGGGAAAAAAGCCTTAAGTGTAAAGTCCCAGAGATTGGAAGGCCATCAGCGGTGTTGCAAAGTCAGAATATATTACCTGTTATGCGATAGATATATTTTAGCCCCATCTCCAAACATTCACATACGATTCTCTTACTGTTGCCAAGATCACTCCTAAAATGACTTGCCACTGCAAAGGTACTTGGCAAGGGACACAGCTAAGCTATTTTCAGCCCCCCAACCCTCCCCTCGCAGTTTTTGCAGAAAGTGGAAGCCGTCCAATTACTGATCTTTACTTTATTGGATGTTTGGGAACTTTAAACTGAGCAAAAAACAAAAAATAAATTGCGTTTGGAAAGCACGTTTAGAGCAATAAACTATTTTGCCATGGCAACATTACTGATCAGTTTAAAGATAAACTGTAGTTAAAGTTATAAAAGAATTTGCATTGCCTCTGCAAAATGCTAATAAATGTATTCAACAAAAAGTTATTTAGGTGATCGGTGTCCTGTTTGGGTTCCCCTACCCCCAATTAACAAGCCTGATTGTATGAAGCCTTTGTGACTAGGGAAGCCGGTTCAAATAGAGGAATTGGATTTGGTATTTACAGTAACACAGTATGGTTATGGTGGATATGCAAGTTCTTTGTCACAAAACATTATTTTGTTTAGTTTCACATACATTGGCACAAACACACCTTTATCATTTGTTTCAATAGCCGATGTCCAAATCTTTGTAAATAACTCATTCTATTCACCTGCTTGAAAGAGAAGCTTCTAAACCGATGCATTACATTCTTTTGTTTGTAATTTTTATGCAGCCCTGTAATATAGATTTCCCTGTGCATCTAGTAAAATATGAGAGTTGGTTATTGTGCCTATATCCATGCAGCTTAATCAACAAAACTTGTCCCTCTTCCAAAAACTAAATTCTAAAACTGGGTAATGGCTAGCTTTCAGATATCCTGGGTAGTGGCAGTGATTGCTAAGCAATTAGCCATTAGCTGTCATACATTATAAGTGATATTGCTTCAGATTGATTAATTTTTAATGTTGACTTGTTGTGAAAACACTTCCTATGTTATATCTTGTGCATCCTATGGTGTAATTTATATTATACCCTTTCTAATTCACACTTTGTCTGCTGTTGATTACAGGATCTGAAGAAGTATGGTGCCACAACTGTGGTCAGAGTGTGCGAAATTACTTATGATAAGACCCCTCTGGAAAAAGATGGCATTACTGTGATGGTAAGTTGACAATCTGGTTATGCCCGCGGCAGGATAAATTAGGGCTAGTAACCAGGTTAAATAGGGACGGTCACCAAACAGCTCCCTAACGGTTACAGAGAACAAATGGCCAATGAGGCAAAGCCATTACCTATATTATAAAGATCATCATGCAGAAATTCTTGGCTAGAAGTCTGCATTTTTATGTTTGCATGCACGTGCGTCATTATGCATGCCTCTCAAAATTTACGATTTTGGCTTGACTATCCAGATTTTAGGGTCCTGCTTCCAAAATGTGTCGTGCTGGCACATCATTAGATGTGGTTATACTATGTTCATGGCACTAAGACCCTGCAGAAAACCCTGAAACGGTGCCCTTTGTGTGCCATACTGCTTTATTTGCATACTGCCCGGCGCCTGCCTACTTTCTGGGCAGTAATTGTATCCGTAACCCGCCCAACGGAATTCTGCATGACAGCATGCTTATGTTTGGGGGGCAATACATTATGACAAGATGTCAGAACTAGTACCTGGATGTACGGTCAAAGGAACTATATGTATTTAAACCTGCACATAATGCTTTAGTGCAGGCTTCCCCAAACTCTGGCCCTCCAGATGTTGCTGAACTACAATTCCCATGATTCTCAGACTATCTATTTCATTCATAGAAGCATGGGAGTTGCAGTTCAGCAACATCTGGAGGGCCGGAGTTTGAGGAAGCCTGCCAGGTCCTTTCTTTGAGTTGGTGACAATTCCTCTAACATGGGTTGTTTCTTAATGCAAAGGTTTATTCTGTAACAGTTTGTGTTTCTTTATATAAATGCTATTTGAACAAGTCATCGTGTTATCCAATTTAATGGACAACACTGAAAGATATTGTTTCTCCATCTGACATGGTTTTGAGATGAGAATTTGTTGTCCTTCTGGCTTCCCCCGTGCAGTGTTTACATTGCATTATAAATGCCAGACCTTGGCACAGAGGTTTTGATAGCTGCGCTATATTTGTCCCTCTAATAGAAGCCTCAGCAGCTCGGAGAGTGGGTGGGCAACTACTGGTGTGATTGACTTCATAAAGGGATACTGTCACATAATCTAAACCTCACCTGTCACTCTCATACAATACACTCACACTCCTGCACAGGTTCTCAAGGTCCTCGGCTAAATGTCTATTATACGGTTGTTTTAGACCTTCATTAACTCTGTGTGTGACAGAGGAAAGTACTGACAGGGTATGGTAAATGTGAGTGTGCATTATATGATCTAATTCAGCTTTACAGGAACTACGATTCTGCCAGGTGGTGGAATTAGTCTACTAACTCTGTATATGCCCTAAGGGGCAGTAAATTAAAGTATTAATATGAGATACATTTTTCCCTACTTGGAAGTCTAGAACAGTTTCACTATACCATGTAAATTTCTGTATACCCGAAGTATCTTTTAATTCTGTTAATAGAGGGGACAGAACCTCCAAACATTTCAAATGTGGTGTGACCCTCTGAGAAATTTTAGGTGACTTACGAATATCAATTTATGCCATTAAACTGTGATGTAGAACAAGAACAATGTCTCTTATTTCCACAGACTGATTTTTAAACACATTTATTGTAATTTAATGACACATTACTTGGAGATTTTTTGCTGTGGAGCTCTGGTACACACTGAGACACATTACTGGGAGTAATATTGCTGTGGGGCTCTGTTATACACACAGACACATTACTGGGAGTATTATTGCTGTGGAGCTCCGTTATACACTCAGACACATTACTGGGAGTATTATTGCTGTGGAGCTCTGTTATACAGTCAGACTCATTACTGGGAGTATTATTGCTATGGATCTCTGTTATACACTCAGACACATTACTGGGAGTATTATTGCTGTGGAGCTCTGTTATACACTCAGACACATTACTGGGAGTATTATTGCTATGGATCTGTTATACACTCAGACACATTACTGGGAGTATTATTACTGTGGAGCTCTGTTATACAGTCAGACACATTACTGGGAGTATTATTACTGTGGAGCCCTGTTATACACAGACACATTACTGGGAGTATTATTGCTGTGGAGCTCTGTTATACACTCCATCACATTACTGGGAGTATTATTGTTGTGGAGCTCTGTTATATACTCAGACACATTACTGGGAGTATTATTGCTGTGGGGCTCTGTTATACAGTCAGACACATTACTGGGAGTATTATTGCTGGGGAGCTCTGTTATACACTCAGACACATTACTGGGAGTATTATTGCTGTGGAGCTCTGTTATACACTCAGACACATTACTGGAGTATTATTGCTGTGGAGCTCTGTTATACACTCAGACACATTACTGGGAGTATTATTGCTGTGGAGCTCTGTTATACACTCAGACACATTACTGGGAGTATTATTGCTGTGGGGCTCTGTTATACACTCAGACACATTACTGGGAGTATTATTGCTGTGGGGCTCTGTTATACAGTCAGACACATTACTGGGAGTATTATTGCTGGGGAGCTCTGTTATACACTCAGACCCAAACAATATGGAGCTCCTAGAAAAGAGGGACATTTGGAAAGAAAAACAGGACAAATGGATTTAAAAAGGGGGACTTGGGCCCAAAATAGGAACACTTGGGCGGTATGGAAATTGGGTAAATTTATTTAACTCAATGCATTTGCCAGGACTATGAATTTCTTTCTTCTTAGATTTTAATATATCCTTGCAGATAGCTGGTGCTCTAAAAATAAAATCTTAATCATTTTATGAGGTTTTTTTAAAACAACACATATATGGCAGATTTCATTCTGATTAACTCTCTGTATAATTAGTTTCTAATTTAGCTTTAGGTATTTTAGTCTGCTAGAGGACATTTTATTTTATGGTTTTTGATTTCTGCAGCAGGCTTATAGCGGTCAGTAATTCTGGGGGAAGTTTGACGAAGACTCACTGTTTATGTATAGAACAGGCAGAATCACATTTTTGAGCGTTTCGATGTTCCCATTATGTAGTACAATATCTGCGCCAAATAATTTTGGGGCTGTAAACTTTGACTTTTCTCCTTCCAGTTCTATCAGTGGGGTGGGAGAGATAATTCTGCACCTGTCAATCCATAAAAAGAGAGCTACATAATGTGTTTTTTTTTTTTTTTTTTCTCTCAAATATAATTTACTTGCATTGTCCCAGTGGTGTATTTTTTCTGATGGCTTAGAGATCGAGGTTTATTTGTAAGGAAGTAGTATGCATGCATTAAAAAAAAAATAAATAAAAAAAAAAGAGGAAGAAGAAATTTTAAATGTGATGAAATGTTTTGCAAAGATTCCAGAGATTGTGGATTAAATGTTAATTGGAAAACCATCAAATTGGGTTTCAATGGCTTTTCTTGCAGATAAACACACCCAGATTGTAAAAAAAACTAAATACTCTAAAAACACATTATGTAAATCTGACATTAATTATATTCTAATAGAGCTCTATAATTTAGACTGAGCTTAAGATTTAAAGGGACATTAGTCACCAGAACAACTACAGCTTACTGTACAGTATACAGCTTACGTTATTTGTTCTGGTATGTAGAGTCAGTCCTTTCAGGGTTTTTTTTGTTTTTTTGTTTGTTTGTTTTTTGTTTTTCTAGAGAAAATGCAGTGTTTACATCACAGCCTAGTGATGCCTCCAGTGGCCACCACTCAGATGGCTACTAGAGGTGCTTCCTGGGGCAGTGCTGCTCAGTGTGATTGGCCAGGGTAGTGTTGGGCTCCTCCCCTGGCCCGCCTCCTCGGGTGAGATCATCAGAATTGACCAGCTCAACCAATCCAATTATGATTGGCTTAGATCAACAATTCTGATGATGTCAGCCAAGGAGACAGATCAGGGGCAGAGTCAGCAGCAGCAGACTGGAATAACAGTCATATTTTACTGTAGTTAAGGGCGCTAGATGGGGGTTTTAACATTATAGGGTCAGAAATACATGTTTGTGTTCCTGACCCTATAGTGTTACTTTTTATAGTATATTCTGAATATTTTGCCCCAGGTATAACGTTTTCTGGTTAGTCTAACCAATGTCCTGCAATAGTGGAACCTAGTCTGTATAATAACATTATGGGCTAGAAGTCCAGCCACTACTCCTTATAGCCCAATGTGTCCCTTCTGATGACAATGCAGTGGGTTCAGACACTTGCTGATTTTTACTGTTTTGTTAGTAAAATGTATTTGAAATCCTCTATATCTGCCAAAACTGTCAAGCCGCACAAACAGAATTTAATTCTCCCTTCATGCACAGAAGAGACTGAACATGTCCAAGATGGTGTCCGTAATACAGACACAGCTGTCTGACATCGATCAGCTCCGCTTTGGATTCTGCTGTAGTGACACTCTTAATAGTAACACTTCTTATTAAGTATTCCTTTAATCTAATCTATATTAGCAGCCACTTCTAATGGAAGATCGCCGTAGCAGCTTGAAATTGTATACTGAGAATTTCAGTCGAACAGACTGTGACGACTTGTTCCTAGTTAGCAATCTATCCAGGACTTTGGGACCCCTAACCAGGACTTTGGGACCCCTAACCAGGACTTTGGGACCCCTAACCAGGACTTTGGGACCCCTATCCAGGACTTTGGGACCCCTATCCAGGACTTTGGGACCCCTATCCAGGACTTTGGGACCCCTAACCAGGACTTTGGGACCCCTATCCAGGACTTTGGGACCCCTAACCAGGACTTTGGGACCCCTAACCAGGACTTTGGGACCCCTAACCAGGACTTTGGGACCCCTATCCGGGACTTTGGAGAGTAGAGTTGGCAGATTTGGTCGTAAGCGTCAAATAAATGGGTGAAAGACTCAAAGGGAGATATTTTCATTGAGAAGAGAAAAAAAAGTGTGTAAAGCAATGGGCGATTAGAGGACTTGGCACCATCATGCTGGCATCCATGAAGCCTCCTGCTCTCTAACAACCATTAGTTACCTTATTACACCCTTATATCTAGACTTGCTCCATTATATTTGGCTGTACAGTGAACATAAGCCCAATCATGGAAGGGCAAGCCACCTACCAGCAGATGACATCCCATGTCCATGTCCTTGACTTCTTATAGTGCTGAAAATTCTGTAAAATCAGACGAGCTGACTTACATTGCGGAGGGTTTGCAGCTAGTGACGTCTGATACATTGATAACAAAGTTGGACAATTTTTTTTTTTTTTTTTGCCAAAATATAACTCCTCTAAAAAAATTTAAAAAAAATAGACCAGGCTTTAAATCAGGTGCTTTAAACAGCTGTTGTAATAATGTAATATTATTTTTAAAGCAGCAGTCAGTAATCTGTGCAGCTTGGCGATATGTATTTCACGTATTGTCTGATGTGTTTTTTGCTTTGTAATTGAAATAATGTTTTAACATTTTTGTTCGTGTTTTATCCTTGTTTAAGGACTGGCCATTTGACGACGGAGCACCACCCCCCAACAAAATTGTGGAAGACTGGCTAAATTTGCTGAAAGCGAAGTTCTGTGAAGACCCTGGCTGCTGTGTAGCTGTTCACTGCGTGGCTGGATTGGGGAGGTATGTGGGAGCTAGTATTGCTGTCCTGAACGCTTTCACAGAACTAATGGTTTGCTATGAGAGCTGAGAGGTTTTCTTGCCCCATCCGCCTCCCTCTCTCTCGCTGTGCCCCATCCGCCTCCCTCTCTCTCGCTGTGCCCCATCCGCCTCCCTCTCTGTCGCTGTGCCCCATCCGCCTCCCTCTCTGTCGCTGTGCCCCATCCGCCTCCCTCTCTCTCGCTGTGCCCCATCCGCCTCCCTCTCTCTCGCTGTGCCCCATCCGCCTCCCTCTCTGTCGCTGTACCCCATCTGCCTCCCTCTCTGTCGCTGTACCCCATCCGCCTCCCTCTCTGTCGCTGTACCCCATCCGCCTCCCTCTCTCTCTCTGTGCCCCATCCGCCTCGCTCGCTGTGCCCCATACGCCTCGCTCGCTGTGCCCCATCCGCCTCGCTCGATCTCTCTCTCTGTGCCCCATCCTTCTTCGCTGTGCCCCTTTCATTCGCTGTGCCCCCATCCAGCCACCATTTCGATCTCTCTCTCTGTCTTCCATCTGCCTGCATCTGGCTCTTCTGCCCTTTCTCTCTTGCTGTGCCACTACTGCCTTTTTATATAAGCTGTGCATATTTTAAATTGTGCAATTTAATAGGTGTGGTTTTTTTGTGTGCTAATTGGTCATTTTGTGTTTGTGTAGGGCTCCCGTCCTGGTAGCGCTTGCTCTCATTGAGAGTGGAATGAAGTACGAGGACGCCATTCAATTCATCAGACAGTGAGTATCAGGTTGCATGCAGGCTCCGCATTCTGTTTGGCCATTATATAAATGAAATCACTGTAGAGGAGGAAAGCAGCTTCTGTAAAGGTGAGGCCATGTAGTCAGAAGGATTTTAAAAGAAGTATACTGGTTGTGGTTGGTACCCATGAACAAAACATTAGATGACTCAATAGGGCAAAAAATCCTAATTCCCAACGCAACCACCATTTTATTATCATGAATTCCACTGACAAGCCTCCTTTTTCACCTACATTTAACTTTTTAATAACTCCTCTTCTTTAACCCCTATCTATAGGGCAGCGATAGGCGACCTTAGCACAACCTATATTTCCAAACCACATTTCCCATGATGCTTTGTATGATCATAGGTCATTTCTTGGATGTCAAGTTTAGCGATCACTGGATTGATGGACCCCAATGATCAGCACTCAGGAGAAACTAGACTACGTATTGATATGTAGCATCCAAAGGTTGCTTAAACCGGATTACAGGAAAGCGGCTTGACATTTGCATTTGTAATCTTTCAGATAATGCGGTGTATTTATAAAATTGTCTAAGATTATATGAAAAAAGTTATTGTTTCTCCATTCAAGAAAAAGTGTTTTTTTTTTGTTTGTTTTTTTTTCATTACCTTAAACCAAAACTTCTTAAGAATTGAGAACATAAATGCTAATTTTAGCAACAACTAGAATTTTTTTTCTAGTTCCCCTTAAAAAAGTTACTTCATTTCTCAGTTCTTCAGAATTTATTAACTCGATTCTCACTCCTTTTTCAGGAAACGCAGAGGGGCAATCAACAGCAAGCAACTGACGTACTTGGAAAAATACAGGCCAAAGCAGAGACTAAGGTTTAAGGACCCCCACAATCACAAGAACAAATGTTGCATTATGTAACGGTCGTGACGATTTGCCAAAGCACTTGGACACGAGACACTCCTCAATACAGGGTTTTACAATGACGTCAGTGGACTGTTTCAAAATCAATGACTTGATGATGTTTTTCACATGAAGGCTCCTTTGCACCAATACTGCAAAAAATATAAAAAGATTGTATTGTCTATTCGAGAATGTTTTTGTTACATCAGCCAGGTTTTGCAAAGAGACGATATATATATTCACGTGTGATTTGTACTGTGCACAGTTTTGATCTCTGTCAGTGGGATCATCAAATCTTACCCTAAAACCTTTATTACGTTTTTTTTGTTTTTTCTCTCATGAGGATTTTTGTTAGTTTTGTTTTTTTTACTGTTTGCAGTTGAGCCAGGCCTTGTGAATAAAATGATTATCTATAAAAAATAAATAAATAAAAATGTGTGTGGTTTTCAGGGAAGTTGTCTGTAACAGTCCTGTACTGAGTCTAGTAATATTATTTTAATTAGCGTTTTACTTTGGAATCACCTTTGGAGACGTGGTAGCTTGTGTGTGGTGTGGTTTTATGCTTGCTCACTGTACAGCTTGATGTATTGGACCCTGTGCAGGTAAGGCCAGACGTGATAGATAGCTGTGAATTGTGGGAATCGTTTGTGAAATTCAGTCCTTAATTGGTCAATGAAAAGGGTATCCTTGACTACAAGATGTGGGGTTATAGTTGCCTTGGAAACTGCCGTTTCTTTCTATCTGACTTGCTATAGTTATCACCAAGCGGTTTTGTTTATTTTTTTTTATTTTTTTTATACCAATTCCTGTGAGAGGTAGGCCAAGTAGTACTCTGTGTCCCTAGCAGTGCCCCTTACCTTTTTAGATGACCCAGAATACAATAGTGACGGCTAACTTGTGGACTAGATTTCTCATATTCTCACCCACCAACCCCACTCCACCCAATGACAGAGGATTTTGTCTTTATGGATTTTTTAGCTCAATCATTTATGATTACACTGCAGATCATCTTGTCCCTTTGTGGATAATATCGGCACCTCATCTGTAGCTTTGCTAGATTTGAACAGGTGCACTTGATTATTTTTCTGTTGCCCCATAGTTCCTCAATCTAGCAGTGAAATGGTCAATAGGAATGAAGAAGTTGTTAAAACCTAAAAACATGCTTTGCGCACAAACATAAAGTTCTTAATAGAGCAGTGTGCAAGGTGTTAGCCCTTGGATGGCTAAGCACAATGGGAGTTTTCATTCTGCTGTTTTAGTATCCCTGGTTTAACTGTTTCAGTGCTGGACTGAGCTGCAGGCAGAACCTGCTGTGTGTATTAAATGGTTTGTGTCCTATACATGGATAAATACAACTCCATATTTATTGTTGGATTTCGGCATTATACGTCATGAATACGCACAGTATGTTACAGTATCAGAAAAATGTTAAAGCTGGGATCTATCAGAAACTGGTGAAAATTAAGAAAGAAAAATTAATAATCTTGAATTGCACTTGAAATGCTTCCAGTTTTCCCTGTACATGTAAAAGAAATTGTGATCTCTGGATTACTATAAATTGGTGTTAAAAAGTTTTTTTGTTTTGTTTTTTAATATTATTTCCATTCCTTTTTTTTTTCTCTACCCTGAATTCAGCTGCAGGCCTAGTAATTACTCTTGATTTGAATGGAGAAGCATGGGTTCAGTAGTCAGGTACAAACATCTCACTACTTCAGATTTATCCCCTTATATTCCTGGATGAAAGGACATGTAAGATGCATTTTCATGTCCTGTCTAACACTCACAGTGGCACATGTACAAAATGTTTTGCAAAGTCCACACGGGTGTTTTGTTTTGGGTTTTTTTTAAGGATGGGAGGGTGTTTAATTAAAAAAAATATATATATAATTTGAAAGAAAAAGGGATAAGATTGTGTTTTGGTCTCGTACAGCAGATTAGTCATTTCTAAACATTTTTCCCAAAATGGTCATGAATCCAACTGAGTTGTGTCTATAACATCCGCCTGGCTTTCCACAAAATTTTCTGCAACAATAACCCGATCATTCTCTTAAGGGTACTCGTTGACCGACTGTATCAACTCAATGAGAAATCCATAGAGAAACCTATTTTTTTTTTTTTTCTTAATCCAACCCATAGATTAAGGATTGTTCTTTAGTCAAAAATTTGCAATAACTTTATTCAATGTCTGTCTATACACCAGGACTGTGCTACAGCACACCTCATCACTTAATCAATGTTCACCTACAGCATTGTGGGAGTTGTAGTTCAAGAATTGCAATAACATTTAGAGAAAGTATTTATTGCATAGCCCTGCCGAACAGATTCAATCTACCTCTTTCTCTCTGCGGAGGGCCATTTACCTGCCCTCAGCCTGCAGAGCTATGAACAAAAATATAATATAGATGACTATAGGACAGTTTTAATGCATTAAAATAGCTATTCACAAATGTAAAATACTGATATTTGTGTCCTTTCATTTGTAGAGCAATTCAATCTACATTTTGTAAAGTAAAAATTAGTCGTCTTCAACATTTATATTAGGTGTGTGTCATTTTACAATGTGGCCCATTTTTTTTACACAAACTATACAGTAAAACATAGATGTCTCTTAATTTGGTGTAATATTTTTAAAGCCCCATGGAACACACTTCAAGATGAGATATTTTACAAAACAAAGGTGATCTTAAAGGTGCAGTGATGCCTAGTTTAAGAAAACACGTATTTGTTTTGTAACCTAACGTGACTTCAGGAACCTCTCCGTTACTATAAACACCCTAAACCAACACAGGAGGACACTTACCGGTGTCCAGTTGTGTTCCTGATTAGATTTTTCTCAGTGTAAAATTTAACCTGTAGACATTGGATACCACAAGAGGGCAGCATTGTCAGTTCCTTGTTGCCATAGCAGCAGATTTCCTGAACCTTTTTTTGCTTTTAAGTCTTCAGGACTGTTGAGTAACTAATACATTGATCAAGTCTCCTCCATTCTATTTGCCTAACATGCCTGTTAAGTCAAAGTGAAAGTGAGCCTTTTAAAGGTCACTTGTGACAGGTTCTAAAGAGGCTAAAATTTTATTGTGCATATTGCTAAAATGTATATGTGACATTTATCTTTACAATGTAATTCTTTGATGTTGTGTTACACCGATGTCTCCTTTAATTACTTTTAAATTGTAACAGTGTGTACACTATCCCAGTGAACTGGTATTTTTCAATTTTCTGGAGGGAAATGTTTCCAGAGTGTGCCTTTTGGAAGCCATATTTGTATTTCCCCTTTTAATAAAATTACATTTATGTGGAATAAAATTTGAGTTGTGACACCTGAGTTCCAGAAAACCTACTGTTTGTGGCAGTTTTTTTTTTGTTTTTTTTTCACTCATTTAAAATATTTCCAGGTTTTAAATTTCTAGGGCTGGCATTTAGTTGGTTATACTTCAGACAGACATATTACGGGTGTAATAGAAGATTTACTGCGACGCAAAATACTTGGATGCTCGTAGTAAAGGATTTTAAGAACCACTGCCGGGATCTGACATAGACGCAACACTTACCTGTCATTTAGGCATCCGGTTTATGGATATTCAGTCTGTATGATTATACTGCTAACCTTGTCCAACAGTCAATACTGAAGGCTCAGCCCTCATTGCTATACTGCTATCTTAACCTCTATAGGGGGGGCTGCAGTGCAAGAACAGGCTCAGTCAAATGGGTACTCGGGAAGGAACACTAGATTTTGACTGTAGCAGGATCTAGTTAATTTGTACCTCCTTCTCCCTCCCAGCCTGTATTCCTAACACTCATATTTACTGTGCTCTGATATTAAATCTATTTTCCTATTCACAACTCTCAGAGACTCACTGTTACTTTGCCGAGCAGCATTTATTATCACACTTATAGGTCTGAATATCCTGCTCTGTTTGATTTGATTTTTTTTCTTTTATCCATTTTCTCTTTACCCTATATTAATGAATAATATTAAAAGTTAACTTTTAAAAATCACTGTATGTAACCGTGAAAAGACTTCTCCCTGACATTATTTGCAAAATTGTATCCCTTAGGAGACACCTTTCAGTTTGTCAGAGGGTCTACTCGCCAAACGTGCCAACTTGTGACACAAAAAATTAGGAATATTGAGGTGTACATAGGATCCGCTAAGTAGCAAATGTCACCGTGTCCTGGCTGCCACAGTCTCAGTGAAGACACTTCAACGCCTGTTTAAGACTGTATTTCTATCATCCAAAAGAGCTAAATTGCAAGTTGAGAATTTTATTTTAATGGAACACTATAAGGAACACAAACTATTCCTGACCTTATAGTGTTAAAACCACCATCTAGCCCCCCCCTTGTCATCCCTCCCCCTAAATATTGTAAAATCTTATATTTCATTCAGTCTGCATTGAGTCAAGGCGAGTTCAGTGTCTGCATGCAGTGGGTGCATTTTCTCTGACAAGACCGTGTTTATTGTAAAATGCCTGACGGAATTACTATACTCACCAGAACAACAACAAAAAAGTTCTAAGAACAGACTTTGCATCTTTCAGATCATCACCACCTAGTATAAAATATAATTCTGCACGTCTTGTGTGTTGTTTATTTTATTGTATTTGTATACGGAACTCCTATAAATAGCATTTTTACAGGTCAGTAAATAGTAACTTCCACTGCAAGGGTTTGAATTTTTGATTTACAATATAGAGATGGTTTTTATTTATCTACAAGTTCTGCTTGGTAAAGCGAACGTGACATATTGACAGTGTGGTCAAAGAGAACTAACAGCCTGTGGCAAAAAATAAATATCCTGTGTATAAAAGGTCTGTTCACACAATTGCTTATGTAGAATACTTATAACTCTAACAAATATAAACTTGGCTATTCTAGAAGACTTGTTATCAACCATTCTGAATAACTGTAGAGACCATCTACCAACATCTGGTAAGGTTAACTGAAAATCACTTCCTCTTCAATTCAACCCCCTCCTCTGAAATGAGATGAAAGTAAGTTTGTCAGATGTTTTGAGT